CCCAGGGCTGCCCTGGGCTCCTTTGGTACCCTAGCAGCCCGCATCCCATAAGCAAAGCTGGGAAAGGAGGAGTAGGCTTTCCTGTGGATCATCTGCAGGCAGTTTGGTTTATTGTTACCAAAATGCACAAAAATGTCACCATTCCTGAGGCTTGCAGGGGGAAAACAACGTTGCTTGGAAACATCCCCATTATTGCTTTGGAACAGCTTCTTTTTGAACAGAAAATGAATAAAATATGCAATTTGCTCCCTGCAAACAGGCTGCTTCACACAGCAGCGAGGCCCAGCAAAGCTCCTGGGCTGAGCTCCTGCAGGAGCCTGGCAGCAGGGCAGTGACCCACAGCTTTCCCTCTGAGTGCAAGCAGGCAGGAGGGAGAAAGGTGGGCGCAGAACTCCCCGCTGCTGGCACTGCTCAGCCACCACCCCCAGAGGCCCAGCACCCAGCAGACGTTGCTGTGCTGCTCTTGCTGTTCTGAGCTGGTGACAGACTGCACACCTCGCACTGCTGGAGCATGACAGTACACCGATGGGTTTGCATGCAAAGTTTGCAGTACAAGTGCTGGCCCGGATCATGCTGGCCAGCTGCTCACAGCATGCAGGGTGAAGCTGTGGCTCTGGGGCCCAGTGCAGTGCTGGAGCAAGGAGCTGCTCCTCAAAGCACTCCTGAGCAGCACAACACCATTGCTCACGGCTCTAGCAGTAGTTGGCAGTGCAGGGCTGCAGGTGTTGGGGTGCAGCTGTGCTCTGTGCCCTGCTCTCTTCACACATCCCGAACCATCCCCGCCACACACGCAGCCACAGGCATGGAGGCAGCTGTCTGAGCTGAAATTCCCTGCAATTTTCTTGGCTGCATCCTTTAGAAAGTTGCCGATGACGCATTCAGATGCAGATGAGGGGAAGTGCATGGGCTGCAGCCAAGTGCAGGGGCTGCAGTGAGTGCTGCTGCTGTCCCACATGCACTGAAGTTCCCGTGCTCTGCACTCAGCAGGGTGTGCAGTGCTGGCACCCAGCTTTGCTCCCCGCAGTGTGGGAAGCACTGCATGCACAGAGGTGGAGGCTCAGCTCTCCAAAAGCCCCCGGAGCTCTGCAGGGCCCTACAATGAGCATTGCACAGGGCCGTGCATCTGCCCTGAGCACTGAGCGCTGCCCTGTCCCACTCTCAGTGAATGCCTCACGGCTCTATGCTGTAGCAATAGTCTGAAATAAAAGATATTCTGCTCGAAATTCCAACTGGACTCTGCTGAAGTGGCCATGCTGGGACGATACTTTTTAAATGCCTTAAACTGTGCGCTTCACTGGCAATTAAGTTAGCAGTGTTTCTACATCACATCCTTTCTTTCACCCATTTAAGCATCAGATTAATGTTGTCATGTGGTGTTTAAATGGAAAAAAAACCAACACAGGAGCAGCCCGGGAGTGGATGTGGCATCCATCCATGCCGGCAGCCCAGAAGCTTGCAGCCTGCTGCCCAGCAGCTCACAGCCACCCACAGCCACACCGCGTGGCACTGCCATCACACTGCATCTCACATTTCCAGAGCTCATCGCCTCCCAGTGCCACCCAGTGCCACTGTCCCATGGCACCAGTGCCAGCACCCCATGCCAGCACTCCTCTCACCCACTGTCACGTCCCATCCGATGGTGACAGTGGCAGACCCTGCACACAGCTCTGAGGCACAGCTGCCACCCACAGGCTCTGCTTCAAAGCTTCACCTCAAACCCCTTTGTGCAGATGGAACCTGGAGGAGGAGAGGCGGCTCCTTTGGATCCATTAAATCTGCAGTCCTGGGGGCAAATGCATTGTGAATGTAAGGGCAAACCCTTTCTGCTCACTGGAGCGGTCTTACAGCAATAAAGTGAAGCTCAGGCTACGAGCTATAAAAAAAATCTCAGAGAGCTATTGAAATAATATGTAACCTTGTGGCAGAATAATTGGGCTATTGCCTGACAGTGCTTAAAGCTACCCATAACTGCAGCAAAAGCTATGAATTCCTGAACACACGAGGCAGCCATCTGCCTGATGTCCATAGCAGCAGGCAGGGACAGGGAGGACCCGAGCCCCAAATTACCACAAGGAGATCCCCGCTCACCACAGGGCACGGCAGCGGGGAGCTCACTCAACTCATGCACTGTGCACTTCCACTGCCTGGCATCTGCCCACAAAGCTTTGCCAATGCAGCGCTGGCATTCCTAACGCAATGCGTCTGTATGGGAAATCCATACCTTGCTGACAGCATTGCAACGTTTCTTGTGGCCCATGGTGTGTGCAGGAGGAGTGGAGGAGGAAGCTTGAGTCCCTGGTGTGAGGGGAGGGTGCAGCACTGTGCAGAGGGAACAATGGGACTACAGTGGGGGTTCATCCGCATTACATGCACCAATTGTGTTTGCTACTAGAGGCTGATCTGGGTGAGGAAGCAGGATGTTCTGGCACCCTATTTGTTACGGCTTCCCTCGCAGTGGCTCTGCCCCATGGCACAGAGCTGTGGGGGGACAGGAAGGTGGCAGCCCCGCACCCATCGCAGCACCCACCTGTGCCTGCACTTTGTTCCCAATACAGCAGATTGCAGCCCTGCAGCTGCAACAC